CTTCAGACTAGCGCGCCTGATGCCTTTCTTCCGACTGATGTGCCGAAAAGCTCTCAAGCCCATCTGCAGCTCGAGTTAAGTGAAGCAACTCATCAGCATCTCGAAAAAACAATAGAATACGAATAGGTTCGCGGACCTAGCTCGAGTGGCAGACCAAGTTCAGACCTCTAGATGCTTCAGACGAACGCGCCTGATAATTCTGAATCGATGATGTGTGCGTTCCAGCTCTGTAGCTCTCCTGCAGCTCGAGTTAAGTACAGAAAACCGACAACGCCTGTCAAGATGACTCGAAACAGCCGATCCCGTCTGAGTGCTTTTTGGCAGTAGTAAGTACCTGATCGAGCTAAGATTGACACGGCGAGCGGAAATGATATCGAATATCACGGGAAAAATATTAGAGCCCAAACGGATTTTTGAATTTCGAGAACACAATTTTCAACCAAGCGAATATCAGCAAAAGGTCCGTAGAGATTTTTCTTGCCAGCTAGCCCTCACGCGCGCCAGAATTACTCTTGAGCTTCCAGCAACTAGCTAAGGGAAGCTCTACGAGTCACTTGGTAGCGTCCAAAACCCAGAGAGCAAAGAGGCAACTCTTGAAAGTTTTCCTGGCGAGCTCTGGGAAGCTCTCCTGAAGCGCTTCCGAAGCGCTGCCAGGCACGCTTCCACGCGTGCCTGCGCGCGTGCAGGCCCGCGTGGACGCGTGCAGGAAGCGCTCCCGGACCAGCTGCCGGTTCAAACAGGCCCCTGCGACGATTCTGGGCCGCCGTGGAGGAGCTGCTTGCGGGCGCCACCACCGTCCGGCTTCTAATCTAAAGCCCTATAGCTCTCAGAGAGCTCTCCGGGAACTCGGTAGTCTCCAAAACCTGGAGAGCAAAGAGGCACTCCGGGAACTGGACAGCTTTCCTGAAGAGCTCTGGTGAGCTCCCCTGAAGCGCTTCTGGAGCGCTGCCAGGCGCGCTTCCACGCGTGCCTGCACGCGTGCAGGCACGCGTGGACAAGTGCCGGAAGCGCTCCCGGACACGCTGCGAGGTTTTACAAACCCCATCTGGGGGCTCTGGAGCGGCGAAGATGGGCTGCTGGCAGGCGCCACCACCGTCCGGCTTCTAATCTAGAACCCTATAGCTCTCAGAGAGCTCTCCGGGAATGTACCTCGTAGGCTCTTCGGCATCGGTGAGCTCGAGGAATTCCAGCGCGGAGTAAAGCTAGTTGGCCGACCCGGCCTGGGCGGACAATGTTCCCCGAGAGCTCGCTGAAAGCTATAGGGTTTTAGATTAGAAGCCGGACGGTGGTGGTGCCAGCCAGCAGCCCATCTTCGCCGTTCCAGAAGTCCCGCAGAAAGTTGTGAAGTCGCAGGTGTGAGGTCGCAGCGTGTCCGGGAGCGCTTCCGGCACGCGTCCGCGCGTGCCTGCGCGCGTGCAGGGGCGCGTGGAAGCGTGCCTGGCAGCGCTTCAGAAGCGCTTCAGGAGAGCCCCCCAGAGCTCTTCAGTTCATCAGTTCATTAGGGAACCTTTCCGGTGTGAGTGCCTCTTTGCTCTCCGGGTTTTGGGCGCTACCAAGTAACAACCTGGGGCTGGTTTTTCTCCCGGAAATCTCTCTGAGAGCTATAGGGTTTTAGATTAGAGCCGGGACGGTGGTGGTGCCTGCCAGCAGCCCATCTTCGCTGGTGCAGAATCCCCGCATAATCTTGTGAGGTCGCAGCGTGTCCGGGAGCGCTTCCGGCGCGCGTCCACGCGTGCCTGCGCGCGTGCAGGCGCGCGTGGAAGCGTGCCTGGCAGCGCTTCAGAAGCGCTTCAGGAAAGCCCCCCAGAGATCTTCAGTTCACCAGGAAAGCTTTCCGGTGTGAGTGCCTCTTTGCTCTCCGGGTTTGGGGCGCTACCAAGTGAAGATTGTGAGACAGTCCAAAATTCATTCGATTTTCCCGGAGAGCTCTCTGAGAGCTATAGGGTTTTAGATTAGAAGCCGGACGGTGGTGGTGCCTGCCAGCAGCCCATCTTCGCCGGTCCACGATCCCCGCAGAGACGGCGGTCCAGAATCGCCGCAGAGGTTTTTTTGAGTTCGCAGCGTGTCCGGGAGCGCTCCCGGCGCGCGTCCACGCGTGCCTGCACGCGTGCAGGCACGCGTGGACGCGTGCCTGGCAGCGCTTCAGAAGCGTCTCAGGAGAGCCCCCCAGAGCTCTTCAGGAAAGCTTTCCAGAGTATTTAGAGCTTCGCAGGGAAGCTTTCCAGCGTCTCCAGAGCTCCGTCACGTGAGGTTTCCACTGTCTCCACGCATGCTAAAGCGCGTGCGTGTGCTGCGTGACTCGTAGAGCTTCCCTAATAGCGGCGAAGCCAGAAGAGTAACTCGTAGAGCTTCCATTAGCTAGTTGCTGGAAGCTTAAGAGTAAGTCCGGCGCGCTGGGGGGCTAGTCGGGCGGGATCGGCTGTTTCGAGTCATCTTGACAGATGTTGTCGGTTTTCTGTACTTAACTCGAGCTGTAGGATAGCTACAGGGCTGGTGCACAGATCTAATCGATTCAGTGATCCGATGCGTTCGTCTGAAGCATCTAGAGGTCTGAACTCGGTCTGCTACCAGAGCTAGGTCCGCACAACTATTCCCGGAGAGCTCTCTGAGATCTACAGGGTTTTAGATTCGAAGCCGGACGGTGGTGGTGCCTGCCAGCAGCCCATCTTCGCCGCTCCAGAATCGCCGCTCCAGAGCTTCCCTCTGACTGCTCTGTTTGCCCCCTGTGTTTTCGGGCGTGCATCACGTTCACGGGGTGGCACTTTGGAGTCAGCTGCCGGGTTGCTTTCGCTATCTCATCGCCACTGCAAGTACGCCCAAACATATTGTTGCTCCTGCCAGTACACTGCGGTGTGTGTGTGTGTGTGTGTGTGTGTGTGTGCGTGTGTGCGTGCGTGTGTGTGTATAGAGAGAGACAGAGAGAGCTGTTTACTACATCGTACGGCGTATCATTATTTTGTAGGTCCTGGACCTCATCGTGGTGGTCCGACTCATGCCCACGATTCTGACAACCGTTGCGCTGACTGTTCCCGCTGGCTTTGTTCCTGTGGATATTGTGCAATGTTGGGTTCAACGCCTTCACCACCAGGATGACCCGTATCCGTTCAATTCTCTCACGTTCCCGTCATACGACAGTGACTCCGCCGAGCCAACCGCAGCCGCGTGGGGACGCGCCGCCTGCCCTGTGTGGGGAGCCCGAAGGGAAAGCATCAGCGAGTCTTCTTGGGAGAAAACGAGAGGAGAGGGAACCGACGAGGGGAAACTCATGGTGGGGAGCGCCGTTCCCTTTTTCTCGTTTTTACGTTTTTCCTATTGTTCTTCCCGTTCTTCCCCCTCCTTTTCCTCAATCTTCGCCCTTTTCTCCTCATTTTCCTCCTTGCCCCTCTTCTCCAGTGCCGACAAACGGAACTGGCCGACATACTGGAAGTATTTCTTTACATGTCGAAGGCTTTGCTTGGGTTTCAATCCCCGAGGGCATTCGCGCCAGATCCTGCCACCCACGGCTTCGATGCCTGGCCGCTTGCGTAACAAGTTGAATGGAACACGAAAACGAAAATAGTGAGGAGGGAATGAAGCAGGGAGGGAGGAAACGATGATTCGGAGGGCGGATGAGAGGAGGCAGAGGTGCAGGACGTTGACGGCATAGACGACGAGGCGGAGGATGGAGGTTGGGTAGGATGGGCAGGGGGCAAAGGAGGGGATGACAATGATGAAGACTATGAAGATTATGACGATGCAGACGAAGATGGAAATGACGATTGATGACGATGATGATGCTGATGATGATGCTGATGCTGAAGCTGATGATGATGATGATTCTGATGATGTTGATGTTGCTGTTGTTGTTGTCGTTGATGCTGGTGATGACGATGATGATGGTGGTTGTGGTGGTGATGATGATGGATGATAATGATGATGCTGATGCTGATGCTGATGGTGATAATGATGACGATAATCATGATGATGCTGCTGATGATGATGCTGCTGCTGATGATGATTCTGATGCTGATCATGATGATGCTGATGATGATGATGGTGATGCTGATGCTGATGCTGATGATGATGATGATGATGGTGATGCTGATGATGGTGATGATGCTGCTGATGCTGCTGCTGATGATGATGGTTGTGGTGATGATGATGCTGATGAGGATGATAGTGAACATGATGGCGAAAATGATGATGATTCTAATGATACGGATTTTGCTTGTGATTGTGATGATGATGCTGCTGATGATGATGATGAATGACGATGCTGCTGCTGCTGATGCTGATGATGATGATGATGCTGCTGATGATGATGATGATGAATATGACGATGATGATGCTGATGCTGCTGATGATGATGATGATGATGATGATGATGCTGCTGATGATGATGATGATGATGATGATGATGATGATGATGATGATGATGATGATGATGATGATGATGATGATGATGATGATGATGATGCTGATGCTGCTGATGATGATGATGATGATGATGATGATGATGATGGTGACGGTGGTGGTGATGATGATGATTTGGAGGAGGAGGAGGAGGAGGAGGAGGAGGAGGAGGAATAATCATAGTAATAGTAATAATAAAAATAATACCAATATTCATTCTGAGAAACATACAAACAGTAATGATACGATTACTAGTTATAGTAAAAATGATATTAGAACTACTAATAGTAATGATAATACAACAATACTAAAGATAGTATGGAAACAATATAATAACAATAGTATGAATACTCATAATAATACTAGTAAGGAAAATCATAATAACAAAGTACTGAGCATAATAATAAATGGAGGAGGTGGAGGAAGAAGAGGAATAGGAGGAAAAGGAGTAGGAGGAGGAGGAGGAGGAATAAGAAGAGGAGGAGGTGGAGGAAGAAGTGCAAGAGGAAGAAAAGGAGGAGGAGGAGGAGGAGGAGGAAGAAGTATAAGAATAATAATAGGTGGAGGTGGACGAATAAGAGGAAGAGGAGGAAAAGGAGTAGGAGTAGGCGGAGGAGGAGGAGGCGGAGGAGGAGGAGAAAAACGTCATAGAATTCAGTCTTTCCGCGGTCGGCAGGCGCCTCCCCTTGGACACCCAGGGCCGGCAGCAGTGCCCGGAGGGCCCTGCCATGTCGGAGACGGGGTGCTTCGCCGCCCGCGGCAGCGACTCCGCCGCGCCTTCGGTGTGCCACCCCGCCCGCCGCACGTCCAGGGGAACAACCACTGACATGAGCATAAAGACTCGGAGGTTCACGCGGCTTCCTCGGATCGGCGCTGTGACCCCTCGGCGGCGCCTCCGGCGCTGCCCATGGCGCGCTCCGCGCGCCATGGAGGGGGGTCCAGCGCCGATCCGAGAAGTCCGTGCGGACCTCCGAGTTTTTTTGATGTTTATGTCATTGTTCGTTTCCCCAATGTCTGCCTCCCTGTCCCCGTCCGGCTCCAGCTCGATCGCCGTCCGCTGCCCCCGCCTCGTGCTCCACCTCTGCCACCACCGTCGTCTCCGCGTGGTCCTCGGGCGTGCCTGGGACGAGGGGCCCGAAGCGCTCTGAGGGTGCCGCGGCGCCCGAGACATCCTCGGCCTCCCAGATGGGGACGGAGTCAATGGGGTCGGAGGATCGCGCCGCATCGCCGATGCATTGGGGATACAGCTCGATGTAGAGCCCAATCTTGTCCACGCCGGCGTCGCCGATGCGTCGCCGAGATGCATCGTCGATGTTTCGGCGATGCGGCGCGATCCTCCGACCCCATCTACTCGGACCCCATCTAGGAGGCCTCTAGACATCCTCCAGAGCCGCCGGATCTCAGGGATTTTCGATCTACCCTCACCCGATTTCATTCTCGTCCTGGATTCGTCTTAAGTGAAGATCCATGCCAAGAAGCACCGTGCTTGCCTCCAGGGTGCCCTGGGCTTCTTTGGTTTCGAGGCTTTTGCTGTGGAAAGCGTGGCGTCCCCACACCAAGAACCCATGGACGTCCTGGGGTGCCAGCGTTGGGTTCCTTGTGGAAGGCTTCTTGTGGTCGGGCCTCCACAGTATGGTCCCCCTCCAGCTCCCGCCCTTGTAGTGTTGCCGGAGGCGCGTTTGGCGCGGAGGCCAGCGCGTCTGGCGCGCCTGCCGCCCTTGTAGGGTCGCCGGACTCCCGGCGTCGGCAGCTTCGTTCGTTCGTTCGTTCCAGCTCCCGCCCCAGCTCCGTCCCTTCTTCCGTCCCAACAGTGTCCGGACCCGGCTCTTCCTGGCCAGTCCCCTGGCGCGTGGGCTGTGGGACCCTTCGGGGCCTCCCGTGCTCCTGTCCTGGCCAGGCCAGGCGCCGCACGGCGAGGCCAGCCTACGCTTGGGGGATGCGGTCCGTGCCTTCTGCCTACAGCCAGCGCGCATCATGAGAATGCGCGGCAAGGATGCAAGGGCCCTGGAGGGCCATGCTAACGTTTCTCGAACGAGGTCGGCCAGCGAAAGCCGCTGAGGATGGGTCGAAGGGGCGAGGATACCAGGGTGCCCTTCGGAAGGTTGCCCATCCTGACCATGCGGGTTGACTGTATGGTTCCTCTTCCTGCCTCCTCCACTCAGCTTGATCTTTTCTGCCCCTCCCCTGGCTCGCTCAGCTCCCGATCATCGTCAGAACCGGGATCCTCGTTACCTGGTCCAGTCTGCATTCAAAGCTGAGACTCTTGCCCCTGAGGCGGGGTCAGAATGCTTGGTCAGAGTTCTGGAGTAGGCATGGGCACGGCCTCACGCTCAGCTCCAGTTTTCAGTTTTCCAGTCCCTCCATAGCTTCCCCCTCTGCTCTTTTCCCACGGTGCCCTGACTTTATCCCGCCCCCCTTGCTTTGTCTCTTTCCCCTTGTTCCCGCGCCTGCGCAAGCTCTGCCTGATTCCTTGCGGCCGCCCAGAATGGACGCACCAAGATTGCGAACTGCTCGCCCTGCATGAGCCGGGAGCAGTGGCTGGAGTCCGAGGCCCCTTCGCTGTCTTCTACACATCACGACGTACCTTTCTCCGTGCAGCTCGCTGAATATGACAAGAAGCCAGACGAGAGAAGCTCAGGCCTGGTAGACTCCGGGGATCTCTCTGGGCACCTCGCAGTGCTCAGGGGGGGGCCCTCGGTGGCCCTCGGGCGGCCCTGGGGCGGCCTTCGGGCAGCGAAGCAGAGCTCGGCGGCGGTGGCCAGGTCGTCGTTGTTTTTGTCGTCGTCGTCGTGGTTGTCGTCGTCGTGGTCGTGGTCGTCGTCGTCGTCGTCGTCGTCATCGTCGTCGTCGTCGTCGTCGTCGTCGTCGTCGTCGTGGTCAACGTCGTCGTCGACGTCGTCGTCGTCGTCGTCAACGTCGTCGTGGTCGTCGTCGTCCTCGTCGTCGTAGTCGTCGTCGTCATCGCCGTCGTCGTCGTCGTCGTCGTCGTCCTCGTCCTCGTCGTCCTCGTTGTCGTCCTTGTCGTTGGGGTGCGGTAGGATCATGCGTCGATGGCGCGCCGGCGACGCTGGCGAAGGCGTTCAAGGTTGAATTCTGCGACGCGGAAGCATCGAGGGACACGGTGACGCCACTGGACTTTGCGGAAGTCAACCTGGAACGATCGGGTCCGCGATCGATTCAGGGTTGAGCGATCGACGCGGTGTCCAAAAAAACCCTAACGTACGTGACCTGCACCCCAGCGGCTCTTGGGCGAGCGTGGGCACTGGCACCGCCGCGGTTGTGGAATCCCAGGGCTCCCTCTCGACCTGACTCTAGTGCCCTTGCCGTCGAATGCGCTATCTTTGTCTTCATTGTCTGTGCTTGCTTTCTTGAATGTATCCGTGCTGTGTCTGCATGCTTAGAAAGAGAGTTGCAATTGAGGAACAGGAGTGTTCTTATCATGTTTCTCTCAAGCCAGTTGTGCTGCGTGCGTGTGAGGAAAGAATCCTACTCAATATACCTTGCGATGGCCGCCTGAACCCGTCGTGCCCACGGCGGTAGGCGGAGCGTGGTTCCCCAGACGACTTCTGGCGCACAGCAGGTGCGCTGGGGGACGGTCTACAGATCCGCGGCAGGGCGAACGCGGCCAAGAAGGTGTCAGGCCAGACGAATGGATAAGTACCCAGACGCAGCCGCTTCAGCAAGCGGTGCAGCAGGAACGCTTACAGACACAGACGTGGGGAGAAAAGCAGGCAGAGTGGCTCAGATGATTCGACTGGGCACAGGAGCCGCACCAGCGACCCCAGCGCGCACAGCGTCGCCATTCCCCCAGGACAGCAGACGGTGAAAAATCACGTAGGCGGTGCTGCTCCATCTGACGAGACAGGCTGGACCGTCGTTGACCAGTGGGCATGGCAGGGGCATCGCGACCCCTTGGAGTGATCATGACCCTTGGAAGGATGCTGCCCGGAAGGCCAGCTCTGCCAACCTGGCTTCCGAGGACAAGCGCACGCCACCTTCCATGACAGCCTCGGTATCGGGAGACCCGTGGCAGAGCATCGAAGGTTGGAAAGGGCCACAAGTGGAAGAGCCTGGACGCGCGCCAGGACTGGCATTCCCGACAAGGATCGTGGCAGCCGACGTCATGGCAAGGCCAGTGGTGGCAACAACCCAGGCCAGCTCCATTGTGGCCAGGATGGAAGAAATGCAGATTGTGGAAGCAGTGCGTGCGACGTTGGAAGGACAACCTGCGTCTGAGCGAAGTGCGGTCGGCCGACCGACTGCTCGAGGTGTTGCCTTGGGAAGTTCGATCGAGCTTCGAGGGCATCCCGGACCATGAGCTGACGGTAGATGTTAACCTCTGGCGGATGGGCGTCAATTGCGGCGAGCGCGAGGATGACGACCTGCTCAGGACCCGTAGCGAGGCGATGCAGGACACCGAGAGGAGGAAGGACGAGGATCTCCACGCCTTCGCTGAGAGGCGAAGGCGGCAGTTCGAGAAGGCGAAGAGTATCGGGATGGAGATTCCTACGAAGATCCAGGGCATGCTGTTGTTGCGGGGGCTCGTCTCAGCGAGCAGGGACAGCGTAATCTTAGGAGCCTGACCAGGGGCTTTACACTGGGAGAAGACATCCTTTGGGCCCTACCGAAGCTAGACGCGGGCGGCAAGGTCTGGGGCGACAACCGACCATCGACGCTGGTCAGCCTGGATCCTGAGATGACGCTTCCAGGTCTCGACCCCCGCGAAGACGCTGCGGGCTCGTGCGTGGAGCCGATCGACGAGTGGTCCTACTGGGCTCTCGAGGTCGACTCAGACGACGAGGCTCCGGTGCTGGCGGAGATTTCAGGGAAGGGCCTCTCCGAGGGCGACGTGGTCGGGGCGCTGGCCCAGATCGGGAAGACGAGGAAGACCTGTAGAGGAAGCGGCGCTTGATTCCGTCTCAGCTCGATATGATCACCAAGTGAGGCAGCTGCGGCGAGGTCGGGCGCTGGCTCAAGGAGTGCAAGAACCCTCGCCGGCCCATGGACAGGGGCGACGGTCGCGGCGGGTCCAGGGCAGGCGACTCCGTTGAGGCGTTCGCGTACGTGGCGATCGAGGCGGACCGACGCGGGAATTCATCGACTGGGAGTCGGACACCTCGCGGAGGTGCTGCTCTCGATGCTGCCGCTGGAGCGCGGTCTTATGATCGTCGGCAGCGGCGCCTCGCAAGCCACCATCGGACGCGGGGCGCTGCGAGAGCTCGAGGGGGGCCTGAGGCGCAGGAAGCTCCAGATCATCTGGATCGACGAGGGCGTGCAGTCGCCGCGAGGGGTCGGCGGGTCGGCCACCCTCGCTGGAGTTGCAGCGGTGCCGATCAGCATCAGCGGGATGTGCGGGGCCATTGATTTCGTGGTCGCGAAGGAGGACCTGCCCCCACTCCTGCTGGGCGGCATCCTCGGAGTGCGGCGCCGTGATGGACCGCGGAGAGACGCCGCCTCGAGAGGCTAGATTGCGAGACGGAGCTCCGCTGGATCGGGGGGCCCCACCAGGGCATCTACATCGATGGGCAGTCGGGGGCCATGAGACGGGGGCCAATGCAAACGGGGGTCCGGTAGAGCGCCAGATCTCGCAGGATCTTGCGAAGACCCCTCTGGCTGACCCGGGTTTGCGAGCCGCTCGTGGCCGCGAGGCGGCAGCGCCAATTGGTTGTCCCGGGTTTGCGAAGCCCTGCCTTGCAGCTTTTTTCCAGCGTTGCAGTTTTTTGGTGTCCTGCTGACCAGGGTTTGGATTGGCCCGGTTTAGCAGGCCCCCGAGGTGGCGCGGGGCGGCGGGCGTCTTCGAGCCCGGCCCGCGTGCCTTGCCCGCCGGTCTCGGCCCAGACGTTTTCCGTGGATCGACCGAAAAAGGGGGCGTTCCTACCTCTGATGCTCTTTTCGATTCCAAGGGCCCCCACGAGAGCCTTCTGACCGATTCCAGCGGCCAGGGCCCCGCAACTACTCCAGGTTCTGGCGGGCTCCGCGGCAGCTCTCCGAACGACGCCAGCTCGATCAGTAGCTGTCTCGGTTCAAACCTCGGGCTGGGCAGGGTGCCGGCCAGCGGGGCCCTCGGCGATCTCCCGCGGCAATGGGCGGCAGCAGGGGCCCCGACGTGTCAGGGAGAGCCAAGGTGCAGTGGGTCGCGCTACTCCATGCCTGGCTGCCGTCGGTGCAGACGCTACTTGATCAGTTCAACCCGCAGGGCAAATGGGGCATATTCGTCCCGGGCAAGGAGCTTCACGAGAGGCTCATGGAGACCCGCGGGGGGGTGAACCAGCGCTGCAAGTACGAGCTGCCGATGAAGTCGCTGGAGAAGGGCTTGGTACCTTGGACTCAACGCCAACATCGTCCTCGGTGGTTCGAGACGTTTCACAGCCAGTCTGGATCCCGGGGGCAGCGCAGCCGATGCAAGGCGATATCGTCCTACAACCTACGTGGAGATCGGCTTCCGCGGGGGCGGCCGTCGACAGCTGGTGGCGCCCGAGATCGGGGAGATCAAGGAGCAGCTGCCGCTCGCTGTTCGATTTCTCGCCTCGGCAGCGCAGGCCACTCCGGCAGGCGCCTGGCCTCGTCCCCGAAAGACGAGAACGCGTGGTCTGGCCTCAGCGAGGAACTGCCTCCACCATGGGCCATGGAGATGGTGCGAGGCCAGTCGGCGGCGGTGTCAGAGGCGATGGCGACCTCCGCGGAGCCCACGGCCGCAGCTCCACGCGAACAGTCAGCAGCGCTCTCACACATGCTGGGCAGGATGCAAGACGTGGCACCAGGGTCCACGGCCTCCAGCTCGGCCTCAGGCCTAGCGGTGGGATCTCCCGGGCCTGTCTCGGACCTTGGGGTCGCGGTGGTGGGGCCTCCGCTGCAGGGTGCCGACGTGTGGGGCGCCCGAGGGAGAGTGGAGTTCTTGGGCTGCTAGACGGCGCGCCTGGCAGAGACTGCCGGCTGTGCGTGCCTTCCGCTCGTAGTTCGGTTGGAGAGGTCAGTGCCGCGCTGAAGCGTGCCAGAGCGGCCAATCAATGCTATCGAGTTGATTGTGACCTTTGGGATGCGAGTTTGAGTCTTACTTTCTCCCCTTCCTCCTTTCTCAACCATTATGCTCAGTCCCACTCTGTGGCAGTGCAGGTCTGACGACGGGCAACGTCGACTTCGGGCGAGAAATCAGAACGACCACATCCACCCCAGTGAGGCCGACCACGTGCTCTCCTGGGCAGCTGATGTTCCCACTGACAACTCTGGTAGTGGTCCTGATTGCGTGGTGGCCCTGCGCACTTTCCTGTTGAGGCACGGCTCTGGGGGATCTGGGCCATCGCGCGACTCCGACGACGCGCTGGCCAACTTCGAGGGTCTGGGTGACCCCATCCAGTGCGTTCCAGTCGATTCGAGGAACAAGCGCTGTATTCGTCAGGACCTTTGGACCAGAGGGGGGTCATCGTGCCCGAAATCTTGAAAACACGAGTTCGCAGAGGTGTTTTCCCCGCCGCGAATCGCGCCAGTATCCGACCATCTGGGTCCCAGGGGGCCCCCATGCAGGAGGTGGCTTAGACTTAGCGACGGGCTTG